CTCACCCTTTGCCTGGCAGTGCATTCACCAGCCAATCCGCATTTATGAGTATTAATAACATCATCAGCCAAAGTCCCAACGCATTGGGAGATTGTATTCAATCAATACTTGAACTGTGCTTTGGCAACAGGGGGAGGGAACACTAAATATTGAACTTTAATATTTTACCAGTATCTGGAAATATATGCTTTGTTTCGATCTTGATGAAACGTGTCAATAGTCATTAGACAATATTATAGCAAAAATGCATGAGTAGCACCTGTCATATCAACCGTTTGGCAATTCCGACCCCTTGTCTTCTCCCTTATCAAGGCAACTGTCCCTATATTAAAATACACACACACACAAATAAACTGGTAAAACATTGGATATACATGCATTCTACAGCATTCGTAAGAGATGAACATTCAGTTAAAGCAATAATCATGAGTAAATGCATATGTATGTGTGTGAAGATACATATGTGACTAACATGTAAGGCAATATAAAATATGTAAAATATAGTAATATGATATAGATGTAGCTGGGTTACAACTATAAAAAAAACTCATCTTACTATGCAAGTGAGGTGGGCTGTGGGTCCTGTTGGGAGGGTGTCTGCTGGGGTGCAGGGTGGGAACAGGCAACCACCAACCCAGTGTGAGGCCTGTGAGACAAAGCCCATAGACGGATGTTGGGCCCCACACCCTGCCACTCCCCTTTATATGTGGTAGTGTCGGTGAGGATAGCAGAGGTGGTGTCCACCTGAAATGACAGCCTGAGGCTTAACCCCTGGCAAGCTGTCCAGATAGAAGCTTTGAGCATACGGTCCACACAGCAGGATGAGCAGTTACCCCTGCTATCGAGGGAACTGAAGTGGTTGGGAGTTGAGGTGGCTGCCTTCTCGGAGGTGAGAAGACCTGGCATCAGCATGCTCAGTATGGGTGGGTGCATCTACTGCTGGTCAGGCCAGAGCGATAGCCATAGCCATCTCCAGCCGACTTCAATTCTCGGTAGTAAAAGTAAAACTGGTTGATGAGTGTATCCCTGGATTGAGACTGAAGCATGCTTTCGACTTTGTGTCTCTTATTGCTGCTGTGTATGCTCCAACTGATGTTTGCAAACTTGATGTGAGAGATGCGGAAGACAATTGTCCACAGCAAGACATTCACATTGTTCTGGGCGACTTCTATGTGGTATCTAGCTGTTCGACCACTTTCTTCTCAGTACTTGCTGGAAGATCCTTCATAATTGCAGTCTACTGGAATACCAAGTCCTGTAGCACTGACCATACTTAGGGCCACTTTAGGGTGTTTTACTTGAACAGATTGAGGGGTGAGAAGTGTAATCAATTCACAGAACTTAAAAACCTTTAAGCACGAAACACTCAAAGCAGTGCAGGAGTCCATTTTAATCTCTCTGGAGACACTGGAAGCAACAGACGCATGTCACATGGCAATCAGGACTTCCGCTCCTTGGTGCATTGGGCTGAGACACTACCTAGCAATCTTGCTGTGGAGGTTGAAGGTTATTTCTTTGTAAATGACCATGTCTACCAAGCCCTGAGAAAACTGCACTCTAAGCCCTCGTCGCAGATGACTGCAGTCCGCTCAGTGGAGTATTTTGAGTAGCTGTATCAGGTGGACCCTCCAGCATTTAGTTTGGATGCAAGTGGTATCACAATACCTGTGTCTAACCCACCCATCAGTAAGTAACCTCCTACCCTTACTGAGGTTAGAGAGGCAATCACTAAGCTGAAGGGTGGGAAAGCTGTAGTGTAGTCCTCAACTGCTAAAGGGTTGGGTGAACCTATGGGGCTTGCATACAGTCTTGACTGCATCTGGTAGTCTTGTTCCATTCCCCCTGACATATTGAGTGGCATAGTCATTCCTCCTTGTAATGCTCAGTATACCACATTCTTCTGAAACGGATCTGCGACCACCAACTATGGCACCAGAGACCCGGCGTAGTCTGGATTCGCTCCTGACAAGTCCACAATAGACCTAGCGCTCTGAACATCATCTTGAGTTCAGTTCTAGACTGCTCGCAGCCTACATCGAGAAGGCGTTTGACTGAGTGCATTGACAATCTGTATGGGGGATCCTGAGACTTCCAACTTCTGGAATTCCGACACGGATTATTGGGTACATAGCAAGCCTATATATTGGTACTGAAAGTGCTGTAAAGTGTGGTGGTGTCTGTCGAACTTCTTCCCTGTTAACTCAGGGATAAGGCAAGGCTGTGTCCTTGCACTAACACGTTTCAACACCTGCATGAACTGGATAATGGGCAGAGCTACTATCCAAAGTCACTGTGGAGCAGCACTGGGCAATATCAAGGTCATTGACCTTGATTTTGTCGACAATATTGCTATCCTATCTGAGTCTCTGGAATTACTGGTTGCAGTTCTTGATGTATCTATCAGTGAGGCAAAGCCCTTGGGCCTAGGGGTCTCCTGGACCAAGACCAAGATCCATGACTTTGGGGGCCTGTTAGGGGAACCTGTTCAGTCAATACATGCTTGCAGTGAGGATGCTGAAGTCACAGAGAGCTTTACATAGCTTTGCAGTGTAGTCTCTCATTTGTCAGACCAAGAAATTAGTTGATGGATTGTTTTGGCAGCAGGAGCCATGAACTTGATTAATAAGAGCATTTTAAGATGCCAGTACCTATACAGAAAAGCCCAAACTATGTATCTTCAAGGCCTTTATACTGCGAGCTTTGTTGTATGAAGGTTAAACCTGGATGCTATCTAGTGTTTTGAAGTTTCGTCTTGATGTCTCCTGTAACAAGTCCCTATAGTGGATCGTGGGGTGCAGTTTGCAAAACTGTTTCTCCAACTGATGGTTACATCATGAGACAGGCATGGGACCTGTTACTTGCATAATCCAGGACCGCCAACTCAGGCTATATGGGCACCTAGCTCGCATCCCTGTGGATGCCCATCAGGTTGTCTCTTTGTGAGACAATCCTCGGTGAAGAAGGCCCGCGACGACTTAGGAGGTCATGGCTTGGGCAGCTCGACCAGTCCTGTTGAGACAAGTTAGAGATGGACAGAGGGCCTACCTATAGACTCGCCATGAGGGGTAGAAGCGAAGAGTGGGTGTGGCCATGCGTCCCGTCGGCGTTATTCCCCCGTGTGATGATGAACAACTACATTTCAAGAAGTATCATTGCTTGTGTCAAAATGTTTATAATGATTTTCTAACGATGCTTTTCTGTGTAGCTGTCCCTTCGAAAAGCACAAATTAGTTTTGTTATTACCACTATTATTACTACTCTATTTATATTGTTATTATTACTATAATGTTGTGATTATTATCATCATTATCATTATTATATTGTTCGTATCCTCCGCACTGTGTAGATTCAAATCCTCGGTGACCAAAAATTATTTTGTTCATTTTTTTATTCCTTTTTTCACTTGAATGTTAGAGTTGGCTTTTTTCCAGTTTATTTCTGTCTAAAGATACAGATAACCGGCTCAGGTTTCTTGATTTCCTATTTTATAACTAAACATTTAAACTAAAGTTTATGGGGTTTATCACAAAACCACCTTTTCTGTCAATGTTTTTGTTCCTGCCTGATTGGAGATTGATTGTTATTGTTGTGATTTTTTTGTTGTTGTTTCTGTTATGATATTCATTATCATTACTTCCGCTTTTATGGCCATCATCACTGTGCGTGATTTGCAACCAATCCCTAAACACGAAGGCATTGCGACATGCAAACTACATACTCTCTGGCTAGAACCGGGCATCGGGACAAGGGCAGATGTTGCTGAGGTCTAGTTTCTAGATCTTGGCTGCGACCGTAGATCGGGCTAGTCTGCTGACGTATGATGCCTATCCCCCTGGTCAGGCAAAGTCGAAATAATGATAATTAGAATATATGCTTATGTAATATTATAGACCCAACCTTGCAAGGAAAGAGAATTATTTTACAAGTTGCTGAAGACACATCATAACCAGCAAGATCAACATATTTTGTGCTCTGAATATAGTCCCCTAAAGTATGAACACCATACAAATTCCAGTAAAATTAGATTGGGAAAAGTATATGAAAACAAATTTAACTATTCAACTAGTTGCATGAAATAATGCAAATTCTAATTTCACATCTAATATACCATATGGTAGATCTGTGCTATCATATATATATATATATATATATATATATATATATATATATATATATATATATATATTAGAACCAAAACCATTCAGATTATATTTTTGGTGAATGAAGTTCGCCACAGTATTCACGTCGCTTTTGCAGAGAGACAACCGTGTTTTATCAGTCAGGAAGGTGCCCCCCCCCCCCCCCACACACACACACACCTTCCTTCCCTTCCCACCCGGCCGGATCTCTGCCTCCCTTCCCCTCCCTCATTTCCCTCCCTCCCATTTTCTCCTTCCCTTCACCTGTAATGACCAGCGAAGGCCTGAGCTCCTGGTTCGTCTCCCACCGATGGATAAGTTCGGGGAAACCGTCGAGCTTCCAGTCCGTGTACCACGTGACGCGGAAAGGGGCGCTCACGTGCCGCACCTCTGAAGTGTATTTGAACTGCTGTAAATGCATTGTTTTCAACACCCCCTTTGCTTCCCGCCAGACGTCCTGTAAAAAGGAAATGGATGGAATGAGCAGGGGCGCGAGAAATTAAAGGCTGCAGGGCTAGTGTGGGTGCCCCAACCCTGCTGTAGGTGAAGGTAGAGGCATGGGCGTGTGGTATGTGTATGTAACATAATTTTTATTGATTTACCAGCTTAGAAATATTGCATTCACTGTTGATCAGAAACAGTTTCATCCACTAGAGTGATGACATGTGAATGTTACACTGATGTTTGATTTTTTGAACCAAAGATACAAGAAAAGCAATAAACAACTACCAATTTAGTAGAAACTTAAGATACATTGAACTGCACTGTTGGCCAGAATTTATTTCATCCTCTGTAGTAATAGGACATACTGTACATGCTTAATATATATAGATAGATAGATAGATAGATATAGATATAGATATAGATATATATATATATATATATATATATATATATATATATATATATATATATCATAACGTGTATATATATATACTATATATATATATATATATATATATATATATATATATATATATATATATATATATATATATACATATATATATATATATATATATATATATATATATATAGATATAGATATAGATATAGATATAGATGTAACATATATATATATATATATATATATATATATATATATATATATATATATATATATATATATATATATATATAATGTAAATATATATACTTATATATACATACATATCTATATCTACATATATATATATATATATATATATATATATATATATATATATACATATATATATATATATATATATATATATATATATATATATATATATATATATATATATATA